ATCTGATTCCTGTGCACTCCATCTGGCGAAGTCCATGTGTATGGCTGCTGTTTGCAAATACCTTTTTTCAACAACATAAATGGCTATCATGCAATCTCCTTCTATCACCAAGGCCACATTTTCCAACTACCAGTGATTCTTCTTTGTTTCCAACTTTTGCATTCCATTCACCAGTAATAGTCCACACATCTTGATTGCATGTTTGGCAAATTTCAGGCTGCAGATGTTGGTAAAAATCTTCAATTTTCTCATCTTTGGCTTTAGTGGTTGGTGCATAAATTTGAATAATAGTAGTAGTAACTGGTCTTCCTTGTAGGCATATAGATACTATCCTATCACTGACAGTATTGTACTTCAGGATAGATCTTGAAACATTCGTTATGACAATGACTGCCATGCCATTCCTCTTCAATTTGTCATTCCCAGCATAGTAGATTATATGATTGTCTGATTCACAATGGCCAAAACCAGTCCATTTCAGCTAGGGATATCAATCTTTATGCATTCCATTTCATTTTTGACAACTTCCAATTTTCCTAGATTCACACTCAGTATGTTCCATGTTGCGATTATTAATGGATGTTTGCAGCTCTTTTTTTCTCATTTTGAGTCATGCCACACAGAAAATAGAGATCTCAAAAGCTTTACTCCATACACATCATTAAGTTTGGCTTTACCCTCAGGAGCTAGCTCTTCCCCAGTCATATTCTGAGTGCCTTCCAACCTGAGAAGTTCATATTCCAGCACTATATCAAACAGTGTTTCAGGGCTATTCATTAAGTTTTCCAGTAATATATCAGACAGTGTTTCACTGCTATTCATAAGGTTTTCACTGGTCAATTGAAATGAGAAGTGGTGTCCTCTTCCTTCTTCTGAGTCTGTCTTATCCTGGAAGCTCCCCTGAAACCTGTCCACTATGGGTGATCCTGCTGGTATTTGAAATACCGGTGGCATAGCCTCCAGCCTTACATCAACACTCAAGCCACCACAGTACAACAAACTGACAGACAAGTAGTGATTAATTTTTAATATCTCTACAGAAATGGTATTCTAATAAATTCTTTCTTGGGAGCTAATGCAGGGTGAACACTTAGCTAAGTGGTGGGATTTTATTTTTGGTTTTAAATTTTAATCCAAAATGAGGATTTACATGATTGTATAGAATAGCTTTAATTTTCCTCAGACACTTTTTACATTATTACTCTATAAGAAGACTAGATTATCTCTGTATAAGTTGCCAAGCAATGATGTTTTCTTATTTACCTTGATCATTATATTTTCACTGCTTAAATGTATATTGAGTGCCAGAATGTACACTGAGCAAAGGAGAAAATAGTCCTATGGGCTATGTTGACAACCAACAGAGTTTTGTTCCTTATCTAAAGCGTATTAATTTGTTTATTATGATTATTTCTTAATCTTAAAGTCTTAAGTCATTTTTTTAAGAAATATATTTGTTGGCCACCCTTTTATAGCCATCAGTCTGTATCACCCAAGCAGTTGATTTATTTGTCTAGCCAAGGTATTTCTCCTGGATTGTTTTTACATTCTCTCTCTCATATCGCCCCCATAATATATTTTATATAACTTTCCAGAGATAACCTCCATATTCTCTTGAAGGAATCTCATTTTCCCAAAGAAGATTTTGCACATAATAGCAGGCATTCCCACCTCAGAACATCGCGGACTTTGCTAGCAGCCTCTTCCAAAACCCGTGTTTATTTAATTTTGATGTTCTTTTGTCATAAGTCTTCTGAAACAGGCGGTGTCCCTATGTCATGACCTTGTGGTCATTAGAAGAATTCAGATATATTTTTATCTTCAGTCTTTGCTTAGTTAAAAGCTAATCTAAATCATAGAATTTTTAAAGAAACAAAAACATATAAGTATGGTAGTGACTATGAATCTGCACATGTGGTAAAGTTGTGTGGAACTAAACAAACACACAAACACATTTCAGAATTAAATCCACCACTTTTACCAAGTTATTTACTCAATTTGAAACATTGAAATAGAATAGTTATATTTACTATTTAGACCCACATTCTTATAAAATATTAGTCTTCAATTTCATGTCGGGCCAAGGATATTTGCCTCTTTCTCACTTCTGGCTTCTCCTGCTTTGAGACTATAAGTAAGTTGATGATTTTCATTTTTTCACATTTACTCCAAGTATCCAGTCTTCCCTATGAGAGCTCTGGTGGCACAGTGCCTGAGGCATTTGACTGCTAACCAGAAGGCTGGCGGTTCAAACCCACCAGCCACTCTTTGGAGGGAAGGTTGGGCAATCTACTTCTATAGCAATACCGCCTCAGAAACCCAAGGAGGGAGTCACTGTGAGTCGGATCCGACTCAACGGCAGTGAGTTTGGTTTTTTTTTGGTTTGGTGTCACCACAGTGCAATGAGAATTAATTGATGCTAAAGGGGAAAAAAACACTTAATCAAAATGTAGAAAATAGATGAAAACATCCTCATTCTTAGTGAATCCCTTTAACTTACAGCAGAAGGTTCAATTTTGCATTTAATAATGTTAATATAGTCTTAGCTCTCTCACTGCTGTGGAGTTGGATCCGACTCACAGCAACCCTTCCTTGGGTTTCCGAGGCAGTATCACCACAGTAAAGAAAACCCTATGGGACAGTTCTGCTCTATCACACGGGGTCGCTACAAGTCAGAATGGACTCAGTAGCCCCGACAACAATATTTATGTTATGATGTTAATAGGAACAATTGAGATTTCTAGGGAACTACTGACAGTTCTTAATGTTGTTGTTGTTGTTGTTATGTGCCGTCGAGTCAGACCCGACTCATAGCGACCCCTCCTTGGGTTTCCGAGGCAGTGTCACTACGGAAGTAGGATTGCCCAACCTTCCTTCTGAGGAGTGGCTGGTGGGTTTGAACCGCCAGCCTTCTAGTTAGCAGTCAAGTGCCTTAGCCACTATGCTACCAGAGCTCCCACAGTTCTTAATATTACCTTATAATGTTATAATCTAGTTTTGTCATAAAAAATTAGTTGGGAAAACTGAATTTCAAAAAAGATCAATTATTTGTGCAGTGTTTCTCCCTAACCAGCCTCCCTGCCATAGGACCTGTTGGGGTTCCCTAGTGCTGCTCTGACAGGAATGTACCACAGATGGGATGGCCTTAACAAACAGGAGTGTATTCTTACAATTTAGAGGCTCTAAGTCCAAGTTCAAAATGCCAGGCTCTAGGGGCTGGGTGAAAGCCCCTCAACCTTGGGATCCAGCTCTGCCTCCTGCTCCCGGCCCACTGGAGCTAGAGGCATTTCTTCACTCAGACAGCTGCTGGCTGCTAAGGCTGAGAACCCCCCAAGGTTGACAAGTGGAAAGGCACAGTCCCAATGTTACCAAGTCACACAGCAGGCCATTAACTTAAGTCTATTGTAAGTCCCAAGGTCAGCTGAGCATAGCAGGCTGCTGAGCAATGACACAGCTATGTGCAGGGTCCTAGCGTGCCATCGGCTAGAGACCATTCCCAAGGCTTCTCCTTATACACAGGAAGCAGACCACATACCCAAAGCCAGCTATCCATCTGCTTGTGGTAGATCCCACCAAGGAGTTGATTGCCAGTCTCATCATGGGGATTAACTACCACCAGCAGCCCAGCCACTCAACCAGGCCCAGCCAAGTTGACACACAAACTGAACTACCACAGGACCCATGTTGTTTCTTTTATTAGAAGAAATAACCATTTCCTGCTTTTAAAACAATAATCACCAGTGACTTTGAAAGGAAGTGGATGCATCTAAACTGAAGGAAGGGCAGTGCTTTCAACGATCCAGGCTTCCATTCAGTGTAAAAGGTCCCTCATCACACAGTTATTTTGAGAACTTGAGAGAAGCAACTCATGAATCCAGTTCTCTAAATGCAAAACTAGAGTCTCTGACATGGCTCTGCTTGAACCAAAATAAAGTTCAATGAAATACATAGGTTAGGAAGAAAACCAGGAGCTCTGGTAGCGTCGTGCCTAAGGCACTTGACTGCTAACCAGAAGGCTGGCAGTTCAAACCCACCAGCCACTCCTCGGAAGGAAGGTTGGGCAATCTACTTTCGTAGTGATAGCACCTCGGAAACCCAAGGAGGAGTTGCTATGAGCCGGGTCTGACTCGATGACACATAACAACAATAACAATAGGAAGAAAACCACCTTTTTTGAATTATGTCATCATACACTTTTCTTCGATACCAAAACCTTGTTTAAAAGAAATCCAGAGTCAAAGGGAAGGGATGGAACACTGCAAAAATGGGAGAGATTAAAAAAAAAAAAAAAAGAAGAAGAAGAAGAAGAAACCCAAAGTTGGCTAGTTAGAGGGACCAACTTGTACGGCAGCTGATCTGACTACACAGTTCAAGTCCTGCCTGTCTCCTTAAATGGATGTCATCTTTAGCCAATTAAAATATGGAACCTCTTCTTGTACCTCTGTTTCCTCATTTGTGGAAAATAATTAATCATAATGCTTGTCTCACAGGAATAAGTGCCATGAGAACTTCACGTGCTTAGCACAATACACAAAAATGAGGAAGCACTCAACAGGTAGTGGGTGGAATTAATTTGGTGTCTGTGAAGAATGAACTCTGCTTCATTATTTTCTTTGCTTCTTACAGTTTAAAATATTATGAAAGGCAGAACAACTTTTCTCATTCTAATAAGTATATTTTTCAGCGAAATAAAATCTGACACTTTTTCTATTTTTGAGATCACAGATGCTCTTCTGGTGAGTAAACAGTGTGGAATGTTGCAGTGGAAACGTCCTCCAAATAGATTTGGTTCAGCAATTGCTCACCGTTCACAGTGTTATTATAGTATTGTTTTGTGTGCAGTGTTGTGCATTTTGGTGTGTGATATGTTAATAAAAATACCTAGTTTGTGGAGCAAAGTTGTGCCAAAGCTATCCTTTTGTCAGGCATAAATATATATAAAATAGATGCCTCCGAGTCTCTGAAGAATGTGAAGTCACAGCATGCTGTTTTCATTTTAGGTCATAGCTGAGCTTCAGACCACCGTTTCCTCTCTCAGAGAGGAGGGCAGCCGGCAGCAGCTTGCTGCAGAAAGGCGGCTCCAGGATGTTACACAAAAGTTTGAAGATGAGAAGCAGCAGCTGATTAGAGATAATGACCGAGCAATCAAGGTAATCTGAAGACTTCAGTAACCAGTGGTACCAGCTGCTTTAATGTAATTAAAAGGAGGGATGAAATCCCAGCGGTGGGCAGATGAATGCAGGTACCTGGCTTGCTCACACAGCCTGCAGTCATTCCATTCAGTGGATGCTGCCTTTGATGTAGCCAGTGACTCAGGCTGACTTCCCTCTCAGAGATCACATGCCAACACAAAAACTAATTTCTGGCCAGCCCGTTCCATTCACATGGAACAAATATTTGAAAATGGCCTGCGCTCCCTCTTGAGAGCCACTCTGAGAGTTCACACACTTTGGCATGTTCTCTGGAAATCAGAATGACTATTTTCGCCTGGGACTGCTGGCTAATAGATTCAGAAGTCAGCTTTCAACTTGCGTTCTATTCTTTGCCCACATCCTGTCACTGTATCTTCAAGGTTTGGCATGCCAACCATCTGATGTGCTTTGACATAGCTCAGGGTAGACGTGTTGCTGCTGAGAACCTAAGATGGTTCCAGGCATCTTGAGAGACACACACCTTCCCCAGCCCCAGAAATCTCCCCGGACCCTGATTGTTTAAGTGATAGGCAGTTAGAGCTCAAAGAAGTTTCTTCTTGGGTTTATTGTAGTGAATATTATTGTAAAATGTCTGCATCATGCTGTCTTTAATCTGTGAGGATATTTTGGAAACCTTTATAAATAAGGTTTCAAAGAGAACAAAAACTTTTTTCAAACAATTTCCAGAGAGAGATTGTTTTTCAGTGATTTATTTTGTCATAACAACACTTAAAGTATGTAAAGTCATAATACAAAGCAAAGCAAAGTAAAAGAAACGTTTGAGTTTGATCACTGCCCTTGTCTGCCTCACCCCTCCGTCTTTTCCTCAATAGCCTACTTTAGACAGAGTGACCGAGGGACAAGTTTGTCTTAATATATGTTGTTTTTTGTTATATATACCCATTAAGCCTGGACAACCCCAAACAGAATAAAACACCTTTAGAGATGGACCAAACCTTAGAGCCATTACGTCCAGCCTCCACACTTCAGATGTGACGACTTATTTTTTGTTAATGACATTTTCCCTGTTGATTTCTGTCTATGAGCTCATTTTCCATGGATGTATTATGAGACCAAAAAAGATGTTTCCTGTTTCATTTTTTTGTTCTGATAATTTTTTTTAATCTTTCAAGCCTTTGTCATTTACGTATTTGAAAAAATGTCCATTGGTCTGGGTAACTCTCTTGCTTTGCATGAACTGAGTCACATACTTGGCTTAAATTGCTTTCGTTAGACAAAAAGCTTATTTGAAATGAATTGCTTTTGCAGTTTATGTCCAAATACCAAGTGATGATAATTTCCAAATTTTAAATAACTAGTTAAATCCCAATATAAGCAAAAAAGGGATCATAAATTGAGTTACTCAGTAAAAGTTACCATAAAAGTATGATTCTAGTATAATCTCGTAGTGTTTAAAAAAATATCCTAAGAGTTGAAAGAATCATAATTAGTGTGTTGCTGTGGTCAGTTACCATCGAGTCAGTGGAGTCCTGGCGACCCTGCATGTGCAGAGCAGAACTGACGACCCCGCGTGTGCGGAGCAGGATTGCCCCATAGGGTGTTCAAGGCTGTGGCCTTTCAGAAGCACATTCCCAGCCTGTCTCCTGAGGGGCCTCTGGGTGGTTTCGAACCACCAACCTTTGGATTGTAGTGGAGCCCTTACCCATTTGGTCCACCCAGAGACTCCTGTAATCAGTGTATTTGTTTGTTTGTTTGTTTTACAGTTTTAAGCCATTTACCTGTTAATAGGGAAAAAGTATTCTAACCCCATTTTCAGCAAAGTGCCAAATAATAAAAACTGAATTTAAAAATGGCAATGTATATGTATATGCTATGTGTATGACCTCCAAAACAATTGTCGAGTGGGGGTACCTAAAAGTAGAGAGAGAAAATACAAGGTAAACAGGGCATAGTTCCGTTTTGATTCACTCAGAATAGGTGTAAAGTTAATGACATTTTGTTTTTTACTAACTTTATTTATTTTTTAATTTTAAGAGTTTGTTTTACATTCAACATTACTATACATTTAGTTTCACTCCCCATTCACTGTGCCCCACCCTAACCCTGTCTCCTCCCCTCCCTGCCCACTAACCCTCCCCCTGTGCCCCTCATAGTTGTGCACTCCTGTTTGTCCTGTGTTAACCTCGTTACCTCCGTGTGAATGTTGCCGCTCTGGTCGTTTCTTGCTCCAAGGGATGTATTTCCATAGAGTATGTGGGTGCATCAATCACCCTGGATTGAGTGGTCTGTGTGTACATCTTGTACTAACTAACTTTAAGTTGCTGAGATCATTGATTCATTAGCACTCATAATGAATAAAAATAGTAAAAATAATAGCTGATGTTTGTTCAACATGTGGTATATACCAAGCTCGTTACCAAACGTTTTCATGCATCTCCTGTTCCATGGTCTTATTTAAGCCTATCAATATCTCTATGAGGAAGGAAAAGTTGGGCAATCTACTTCCATAGTGATACTGCCTTGGAAACCCAAGGAGGGGTTGCTATGACTTGGGTCTGACTCGACAGCACGTAACAATCAACATTGTACAAAGAGGGACACTGAGGCTCTGAGGTCAGATAACCAGCCCAAGGTCTTACTACTAAACAATTGGCAGAGCCAAGTTCGAGTTACTGTCTGTCTAACCTGAGAGCCTGAGCTGTTAACACCATCCATCAGTCTCTTCCATTCTGATTATGAAAGAGATGCAGTGACCAAGGGTATTAATGAACCTGGATGCTTTGACTCTAATATTTTCTGCTGGACTCTGGATGATGCAGTATTTTTGCAATGAGTCTTTGATTTAGACGTTGTAATTACATTTGATTATTTTATGCATATACACATGCAAACTCAGAGACAGGCATAGTCACCATGAGGCTTGATTTTCTGAAGTTAAGTAACACTTGTCTTTGGGCATATTAGATACAGAGTGGTGCAAACAGTGTGCATGGTAGTTGTTGAACATACTTCACCCCTCCTCAGGTTGGTGATGAGCTGAGCTCTCAGGCATGGAGGTGGAGAACTCCATGCACTCAGGTCACAGCTTGCAATGTTTCCTAGCTAAATCGCACTTTCACTGAAGTAATTCTTTAGAGACAACTGGAGGTGTCAAGTAGTAAAGTCTGTTAAAGGGCCACCAGTCTGGTGCAGTGTAACTTGATAGAATGTTTTGGGAAGGAAAATTTGCAGCACCGACCTTGATTCAATTGCCCAAGAGGTGTGCCTCGTTTTTGACTCATTTCCAGAATTCGTCCAAGGTGGTGATTAAAGAGCTGCAGTAAGATTTAGCCACATGGATGCTCATTACAGCAGTCATTCATTTCTTCAGTGAATACTTGTTGAGCTCCTGGAATGTGCCAGGCTCTCCCAACACCAGCATTCTCTCTCTCTTTTCCACACTTTATTTTTCACCATAGCACATAACCTGACAACTATGCAGTATTGAAAATGATGTTGGCAAAGAGTATGTAAGGATATTGAAAATGTTCACAAGCTATCTTTCAATGAAAATGCAGTTTACAAAACATGATTTTTTTGTAAACCGAGCATACAAGCTCGGTTTCTTGGATCAAAAAAAAAAAAAAAACATATAAGAAAAAAGACTAGAATTGTATACAAAATCGTGCCAGTGGTTTTCTGAGTCATGGGATTGGTGTTGATTTTCCTTCTTTTAGCTCTATATTTTACATTCTCTATGATGTCACTTTTACAATGAGAGACGAGGAAAATGGCTTGGTTCCAAAGGAAGTGCTCCCAGTCTGGAGGGCTTCAGGGGCACTGAGGGAAGGGTGGTAGGTGAGGTAGCAGCAGCCATGATCCTCGTTGTGTGAGACACAGCAGAGAGAGCAAGGTCGTCCCAGGATGGAACTCCTTTGGTGTACAAGGGGTCTAGAGACAGACAAACTCACAGAAACACGTGTTTCATGCTGCACTTATAACCTGTCTTTCAAAATTGAGAGCAGAAGTCTTCTGTATCACTTGCTTACGGCTTTAATTTACTCCTTCATGCACAATCAAGCTTCTTTAGTCACCCCAAAACTTGGTAGCTTAAAGCAATATCTATGGGAGATGCTCTTTATTCTTAGGATGAAGAATTTAGGCAGGAATCAGCTGGGCCCAGCGTTCTGCTCAGTGTGGCATCAGCCAAGCTCTGACTGAGCCATTCAGCAGGAACCTTAGCAGGGACGGGACTAGCCAAGCCTGTTCCAGGCCCTCCCCACACCACCACTCTTTCCACCAGAGGAGTCACACCTTTGACACGGCAGCGGGCATCTAAGAGGGAACATTTAGAGAGGTCGAGGCAGAAGCTGTACTTCTCTTAATGCCAAGCCTAAGGAGTTGGACAGTGTCATTTCCACCACGTTCTATTGGTCAAAACAGGTCACAGAGCCAGCCAGCATCAAAGGGAGGGCAGATAGAGTCCAGCATTCAATGGGATTTGAAGGTCCTCTTCACTCCACCACAGTACTGGCCACTGAAGGGTCACTTTTCATTTCATATTCAATCCTCAGCTGTACAGAATAGCACACAGAAGAAAATATCTATATCCCTGTCACCCAGCATCAGCTTTGTTAATTAATAGAGTGGCATGTTTGCATCAGTCTTTTTGTTTTTTAAAGACAATCTATCTGTTTGTTGTTTTTGTAAAAAAGAGGAATCTCACATATCCTCATAATAAATCATTCAAAATGCAGG